CTATCATGGGCTGCAGGGGGACAGCCTGCCTCACCATGGTCTTCCCCATGGGCTGCAGGGGAATCTCTGCTCCAGCATCTGGACCACCTCCTTCCCCTCCTTCTTCACTGACCTGGGGGTCTGCAGGGTTGTTCGTCTCACATATTCTCACTCCTCTCTTTGGCTGCAGTTTTCGTTGTGCAGTTTTGGGGTTTTTTTCCCCTTCTTAAATCTGTTATCCCAGAGGCACTACCACCGTCGCTGATGGGCTCCGCCTTGGCCAGCGGTGAGTGCATCTTGGAGTTGGCTGGCATTGGCTCTGTCAGACACAGGGGAAGCTTCTAGCAGCTTCTCACAGAAGCCACCCCTGTAACCTCCTCGCTACCAAAATGTTGCCACATAAACCCAATACAGATAGTTTTCATCTAAAGGAGGCCTTGCATGTAGCTAATGGCTTATCTCTCCGGGAATTTTAAGATTAAAGACTGCAGGCTGTAGATGCTCAATGCTTATTCTCAGACACCTGTGAATGCCATGCTTACTCCACAGGCAAAACAAAGTCAAGTCAGAAATACCATCAGTAATATTAGATGGCCAGTGGTATACAGCCAGGCCCACTATCTGTGAGCAGGAGCCTTCTCTGCAAGTGAGAACAAGGACGAAATAAGGAACTCTCTAAAATTAAATCTCCTAAAACCCAAAGTGTACTTCCCTATCCTGACGTAAGCAAAATACTGTACAAACTTGAAGTACCATGAATCAAAAAGACAAGTTCTGTTGGAAAGCAAGAAAAAGGTTTCAACCTAACCATTCTCTCTCCCGTGAGGGGAAAAAACACCCAAACCTAAGACGAGATAAACCAAGGGCTAAAACCGTAACAATGTACTGAGCCTTCCTTGAGGCAGAGTGCTGAAATGTAAACTACTGCCCAGTTGAGGGTGCAGGTCAGAGATGGTAGATTACACTCTCATTCCTTCCAGCTTCTACTCTAGGGAATACCATAAATATCATAAATGACCTCTTTTCTTAGCCACTGGTCTGGAAACTTGCAGTTAATTAACTTCACCCCATTCAACATAAAGGTCTACAACTTCCTCCAAGTTTTTTTTAGTGAACATCCAGCAATAAATGCAGGCTTCCCCAGGCTTAGCTAACAGTTTTTAACAATGATTGGCAGCTCCTTCCAAGGTCTCCACAGGTCACTCAGAATCACAGCTTGCCCCTGGTACTCCAGAGGGGGTCTTTTCCAGGCACCAGACTATTGTAAATACTTCTTTCATGGCCTTGCCTAACCATACAGTTCAATTCAGCATGAGCTGAATTTAACTGACCCTCACCTAGCAAAATCAGAGTCTAGATAGTTGGACAGGGAAATATTTTGAGCTGGCAACCTTTTAGGAATAAATGACTACTAATTAAGCTACCCCTGTTGGAAGAGGAAAAGCTGGGTTTTTCTCTCCTTATCCTAAAAGGAATAAAACCCATGTTGCCTATTTTCTTTTAGAGTTATCTACACTGCTAAGGTATGTGCTGTTTCTACTTATTTCAGCTAACCACTTCCAGCCAAGAATGCAAAAATCCCATGATCAGGAGAGCACACAGGCTGACCCCAAAGACTACTGGTTACAGCATACAGCTACAGCTTCTTGAACAACCTGCGTGTCCTATGTAGTCACTAGACTATAGAATAAATATATCAAAGAGAACAAACTTAAATAGCAAATCTTTGACAAAATATACAAAAAAATTCCAATTCATTTCGCAAACATAGGGTCCTCTTTACAGCAAAACTACAGAAGCACAACTGGCAAAACTACTTCCTGGTTTTGGTGCACTTAAATGACTTCAACCTAGATGGAGCTTCCAGAAGGAGAGAACAATTTATGGTACAAATTACAATGGAAATCAAAGTGGAATGCTAACTAATTTAAGCCCTGATGCTGCAACTACTTTACTCACACATTTGTTTGCAAGACCAAGGTCTTAGCCACATAGTAAGCTAACTGTCAGAGTCCTCTATCTGAAAGCAGGATGAAAAGATTCTTAGAATATGGTACCAGAAATCAAGGGTTCTGTCAAACAGTAGTGATAGCCCTAAAATTCTCCACACGCACTTCTGAAAACAGAAGGTTGATTTATAAAACCTAGTAAAACTCTGTGTCGAACAAAACAACATTGTCTGGGTCTCTTTATGTGGCCTGCCTGGGTGACCAGCCAATAGACTGATATAATTTAATATTATATAGAAAACCTACCTGTAAAATCAATCACAGTAAGCTCTGCACAGGAAGTTCAGGGCAAGGGTGAAGTAGCCAGTTATAAAGCGTTGTTCTTGTGTTAATAGTCTAGTAAATACACAGTTCTTCTCTGCGGTTCTTTCTTTAGATTAAAGATGCCTGACAAACACCTGCAGGAAGCTGTAAGTTAACATCACAATTTCATTGCTCCTGAAAGAAACACAAAACAAAGTACTGGAATGTAAACTACAAAAATGCAGTTTTCATTTTAGATGACCTGGGAAGCTGTCTTTGTTACATTTGTACCCTCCTACCCCCCAAGAGGTAGGCCAGAGTTGTCAAGTCTTTTAATTAAGTATTTAAGCATGAAACATGTTCCACAGAACTCATGTGAAATGAGGAATAGAAGTCTTTGTGTTTAAGAGAAAGATAAATTGACTAAATCTGGTCATTGGTGAAAGCAGAGAACAGGCAAACAAGAATTCAGAGTTATGATCTCCTGTCTGAAATGACCTCTGGCCAGATCCAGTGAAGTAGTTAGGCCAAAGAAAGGTACAGATATCTAAAGTATGATACAAACAATCCCTGGTCTGCTCAGAAGCAACACTTAAATTTTGCTTCTGATGACTCCCCAAATTATAGGTAAAACAGAAGCGTATTGATCACGTGTAATATATCCAGTGAATTGACCATATGTAATATATCCAGTGACTGTACAATGCTGTTGAGGGCAGAAACTAGGTTTTCCCTCCTCTGCATTAACATCTTAACTGTGCTTTGTCTGGCCCAATCAGCTTGAATTTGTGGCTGTACTGTGTCTCAGCCTTAATAGGAAAAGCCTGTGAATTTGGTCATAAAGATACTCTCCTGGCAAATGGACAGTATGGATTTCAACTCCCTTGAGGTTGCAGTTGAAGAGGATACATGTTTCCTACTACCTGACTAAATGGTAGCCTATTACATAAAGCAGAAGTGCTTCACCTGCAATTATAGAGCAGCTGTAAAAAGTTCTGGTTTATAAATCCCAGCTAAAGAGAAATACTCCTCTACCATCCCAAAATATTGCACCAGATTTAGGGGTAGGGAGTGTTTCTAAGCATCCTTCCCATGTTTCCTACTGGCAAGCTTCCTTTCCCTCCATACTCTCTTGGGATCCTAGGCATCAGCTCTGGTTCTGCATGCCATCCAAGGTACCAAATGTGTAATTTATTAACCCCACCTCTTAACACCTCTTTGTTGCAATTTCTCCTTCTGAAAGTGGCGATGATAATTTCTACCTCACAAGATTGCTGACCCTTTACTGGTGTGTAACTGGAGACTGAAAGAGACTTTGCTTTCCTCAGAAGCCAGAACCATAGTGGTACAAGGTACTCTTTATTATGCAGTGAAATCGCTGATTGCATCCCTCACACTTTCAGACGACCCACCGTTCTACACAGACCCCGATCCTAGCTGACCTGAAACTATTTTATATTTAAAGATGCAGAATCACTAAATAGAGGGTTACTCTTCATTCTGCTAAGAATATAGAACAATACAAGGATGAGTGGCCATATGTGATGTACACATCAAAAATATTTTGTTTAATTTATGGAAATACCTGCCTATTGTGATGTACACTGTACCTGCTGATCTACACATTTCATCTGGCTGAAAAGGATACTCATTATCTTTGTGAAAATGATGACTAACCTTTAAATCCTTGGGAAATTACTGAAAACGAAAGCCAGACAAAGACGTGCTGAACCTGAAGAGATCCATTCCAGCTGAAGCAAGCAACAACCAGGATGTATCCCTTTCATAGCTCGGTATTTTGGGGTAACTATTTTAATGCTTACGGCTAGGCAGGGATCAGTCTGTGGCAGGGCATCGCCTCACCCAGGCTTCTGCCTGTGCAACGCAGCCCTCCACACAAAAATCCTTTTCCCTGCTCTCTTACAGCTCCCCATCGCCCGAGCCTAAACAAATAAGGAGGCCACACGCATAGGGCGTTTGGGGACACAGATGTCTGTCAGTGTCTTTGTTAAACCTGCCAAACCTTTTCATTTGTGACCCAATTCGCTCAGCTTTGTAACAACTCCCTGGTTGTATATTAACCCCCTAGTTACATTTGCTGTCTGCACCGAGGTATCAGTCAACCCATTCGTCTTTTAATTGACTGCTTGGCTGCATCCCGGAGCACGTTGTTTACTGAAATGGGTAAAAAGCTCTAAGGAGACCTTTCTTAACATATTCAGAAATTATATAGGTCAAGCTGACGGGATGAAGAAAAAGCTGACCCACATTTAGGAAATTAATTGGTTTCCCCCCTCTGCCCTAACCTTAAATAATGTCCATGTCCTGGGAAACACCACAGCAGCGGCCCACCTCGGGGCGGGAAGCCGCCGGCAGACACCGCCTGCCGGGGGCGGCTTTGGAGTAACCGCCGCCCGGGTCTTTCCACAGGAGAGGCCGGGCTCCCCTCAGCAGCGACCAGGGCTCAGCGCGCCAACCCCCGCCTGGGCGCTGGAACCGCCCGACGCCCTTTCGGGACGCGCCTCGGCCGCTGCCATTCGAGCCCCCGCGAGCCGCCATG